GTTTCGCTTAAGAAATTATCCCAATCTGTTTATTAGAGTTTGAGCAAGAAAACGAAATACGAGGACAAACGCATCTGCGCCTTGCCCTTTTTGCGCGTATGCGCATTGTGCTGCGCATACTGAGCCTATGGTCAGCGGTGACATAATAATTCGTATTCTAATCCCGCTTGAGACAACGCATTTTTCGTTGTTCTCTGTAGTGCAAGAACTGGTTAGCAACATACCTGCATTTCCTAATTTCAATAGATACAGTACAATTCACAAAAAACTGGGGTCTTTCTTTGCAAGATAAGCACTCGCGAATAACTTTTTCGGCTTTTGTTAATTTAAGCGACGCAATAAATCTTGTACGCGCATGATGTGTCAATTAAATAACGCCTGAATATACGAGTATAAAGAATGGAAATGACAACTTTATGGAATTAGGGCCGGAACTACTTGGGGGGGGGGGGCGTGTACCACCCACCTCCAAAAGAAAAAACAAGGAAGTGAGCCCAATTTCCCTAGAAGTGGCCCCGCCGCCCCGAAATGCTGGAATTGCGGATTGTGTCAAATGCTACGGAATACTGTAAAAAATTGAGGTCGATAAAGCTCCAAAAACGTATTTTCGACCCCTTGTCAAAGAGGGGGTTTGAAAAAAAAGTTTAATTTTCCCAAGAAAACGTCCACCTCCCCCCCCCTCCACCCCATCGCCAAGATTTGCCGGAAACTTAAATTTTCTGAAGGGACCGAGAGGAAGGGAGGAACTTTTGAGTCCACCCCCCAACCAGATATCGCTTGGTACGTCCCTGTATGGAATGACTGCGATAAAAAATGACCAAAATAAATTCACATTTCTCCACCTTTAGGATTTAAATGTTCTTCCTATTTTCGAACATTTGCCCAAATGTTTGTTGCCCATTTGAGAAACATATACCGTTGTGAGTCCACTTTGCAAGCTTGTGAGTCCTCGTTCCCATGCTCTTTCCTCTACGCTCCTAGCTGGAGAAAATACCCTGGCTGGGGCTGGTCACGTGCCACCTAAATTCTGGGTGGCAAAAGGTATAATTGCTGTTGGCGGGGTAGTAGAGGAGTCTGTTTGTCGCGTTTAGAAAATTGCAACTTTATGCGTTATAGTTACGGGTGATAAAAATGCACTTTGCAACAAGAAATTATTATTATTATTATTACAATATTGCCTGCTCCCAAAAGGGCTTTTCAGCAGGTAATTACAAATCATTTATATACTACAAACAATATATATATACACCCACAAACATACGTACATACATACAAACACAAATTAAAACTTTATAATTATTAGTAATGTCACTTTAAAAATGATTAACTACTTCCTAATAAAATCCATACAGTAAAAACGTTTATATGCTAATTTAAACAAGTCCAAATTGTCTAAAACTATTAACTACTTTCTAAAATTCCATGCAATAAATGACGTTTATATTCTATTTCAAACCGGTCCAAAGTGTCAATGTCTTTAGTATGATTTGGGAGCTCATTCCAAATAGACACTGCGCGATAATGAAACGTTCGCTGTCCAGAAGCCGAATTATACAGTGGAATGTCTAACTTATCGTTATTTCTGCTGTTAACACTGTGGATCTTTAATCTCATTTCGAATTTGTCACACAAGTATGGCGGAGCTAACCCTTTCGATGCACTTAAATGTCATAACCGCATCCCTGAGTTTTAAAATACATTCAACTGGAAGCCAAGCTAACTGCTGAAGGATAGGCGTCACATGGTCATATTTTCTGATTCCAGTAATAACGTGTGCCGCGAAGTTCTGCACGCTTTGGAGTTTTGATATATTCTTTTTCGAGGTGTTCGACCAAACGGAGGAACAATAATACATTTTACTGAAGACCAGTGCATTTATAATAAGGGTTAAAGTGTGTTTGTCGAAAATATGCTTAACTCTGTTGATTTGACATGAAAGGAACTGTTCTAAATTCGTATTCATCATGACACGACTTCCTGCTGTACTGAATGTCATCAATAATCAGTGTTGCGGTACATTTCAAGTGAGAAGTTGGATGATATTTCACTTGCAAGGAAAGGACTATAAGCGTGCCTGGCTTGCGAAGTTGAGCACGCATCGCCGTGTCTTCTACATGTTTATAGTTGAAGTGTATCCTGTCCGATATTCAAAACAAAACATTTATTTTGTAAATAGATCCTTTCATTTCCAAACATCGCCAACTGTGTGTAAACAATGCCACCCTATTAAACTGTTAACTGTGTGTAAACAATGCTACATATCCTGACTGTGAAAGCACTGGATTAAAACTCGTTACGGACTGTAACTTTCCTTGCATTTACATTGCTCAAACTCAACGATGAAGAATGATTACGTCGAAGTATAATACTAAAGGTATCTGTTATCACGCGAACGCCAAATATACTCCTCCGTGCGTGCGTTACAATTGGATATTTAGGACAAACATGCGACCAGACACTGGTATTGTTACTTTGTAGTAAATTATTTCATATTTCATGTATTAGAGTAATTTACAGCAGGTACATTAAAAATCGTTTAAAGACCTTTCATTGACATTGCCATTGCCCCATTGGGCTTTATTTGAAGAATAATCCCGCTTAAAATCCAGCTTCTTTTGACTTGTATCATGATAGCTATGGGTCATCAAGACAATATTTATATCAACCTTTATTCATGCAGTAAACTTTATCGTATACTGTGATCGACCTTCCAGAAGTTTCACCAAACGATACTGGAGACAAATGGCCTATCTATCAACGAAAGCTTTAAATATTTTAAAATACTTCATTAAAGAATTCTATATACATATGAGCGAGATTTCGTGCGCACATTTATACTGTTTATGAATTTAATAAGTATCCCTGATGGCGTAGGGACACTTTATACCAGATATAATAAAAAATACTTTGCTAAAACTTATCAGCTATCATTCGTTTGCATTCAAGGAGCGAGGGTAAATGGCTATAGAATTATATAGGAGATGCTGTGCATAATTTTGGCTTCAACATATATACAGTTATTACTGTAGACAAAAAAGGAAAATCATACAGTTGTGAATTGTTTTATAATTCTGTACTGTTGATCCCAAACAATTTTGTACGTTAACACTCCTTCCTACCTGGTGTTTTATATAAACGATGATAACCTATTTTTTAAAGATAATCTGGAGCACTATGTTTATAAACGCTTTTATAATCTATTGAGTAGACATTCGATGTCTATTTTACTAGTGTCAAATGTATAACGCTTGCTGTAAGACCACCAAGGCGCTACGACCTACACAGTCGCTAGTGATACCTCTATTTAACAAATTTATACCGTTCCATATAACAACAATTCAATGGCACATTATAAGAATATCTTACAGTAAATATATCTGAACCCGAGGCAGAACAGAAACGTACGCGCCAAAGGAACCTGCGCCCGAACCCCGAGAGAATAAAACGGCAAATATTTCAAAGCATACCATCATACGTTTTCGTTGCTTGATTTCCTGACTTGTCCGTTCTATAAGAATATACAGTTTAGCAGGTTTGTATAATTTAAAAGCAAACAGAAAGCAATTTTTAGAAAGTATTTTGAAGTATATATGATTCTGAAAGATGATTGTTCAGGCGGCCACTCCTTGCAATCGAAGTGTGAAGTGCGGAAGTGGAAGCATGTAATATGAGACTTTCTCATCCCCCTAATAGGCTGTCAATTTTCTATGGGTCACGTGACCAGCCCCAGCCAGGGTATTTTCTCCAGCTAGGAGCGTAGAGGAAAGAGCCTGGAAACGAGGTTGCTTTCAGTGTTGTAATATGTTTAAAATTCTCAATTTCGATTTAATTTGTAAAATGGTAAAGAAAACTCCATCAAAACATGATGCTTACACATGCGTAGCGCCATATTTACCCAATGGACTTCAATTTGAATCCAAAATAAGAATAGTTTCAATATTAAGACAATAGCTTTATATGCATTTCCCAACGGTGGAATATGCGATTTCGACAGGCATTTTACTTAAATCGGATTCTACTTGGCTATTTTTCATTGCAATGGTAGATGGAAGGTATCATTCGATAGCTAAAATCCTCATCTTTATTGTCTTTATTTATAAGAATTGAAAGAGTAAGGACAAAGTAAAAAGTCTGCATTGATTAGGGGTGCTTCAGGAAATATACCTTTCAAAAATGAGAGAACTCTGGCTAGAGAAGCAAACACTGTAAACGACATCATCTTCCGGGCATGTTTAACACTTGTATCTCTTTAAAAAGATCCCTGACCCTATTTTTTTGTTTTACATGTTTGTTCTTCTGTACGTTTTACACGACATGACAGAAAAGAATAAAATAAACATTTCTACAACTTATAATATTTTACTTTTTCGCGCATACTTCCCAAAATAACATGTTTGAGAAGTTGGGGAAAAAATGTTTGTTCCACGACAATGCACGTTAATGGCTTTTGATTCGCAAAAATACCATGTTTTCTTGTACATAATTACTGAGTAGTCATTTTTTGTTGGTTGGATTCTTTGTTAGAAAATTCAATAACGGTAAGCGATTGCGATTGTCCAAATAACTAGTGAAAAGGTCAATTGAGATGGCGCCATATCGGGAAATGGTCATAGAGATTATAAATAACACTAGAGGAGGCATAGTAATCTTAATTCAGTAAAAAAAGGGAACGCGGCTATAGGGGGCAAATTCAAGTCCCGGATGTGTATTCATGTTCCCGTTGGTGACGAGTTTCAAATCAGCCAATGGGAGCACGATTTTATATCCGGGATTTAAATTTGCCATCCATTAGCTGCGTTCCCAATATTTTAATTCGATGCCTTATTTAAAATCTCTATGGAAGTGGTGATATAGCGCACTTGGCGTATGTTCGAAACGGGTTCAGTGACCCCAATATTTTTCTCTTTTTCTATCAGTAAGCAATTAATTAACTTCATCCTGGAAAGTTTCAATAAATTCTCATTTCCAGAACAATCACTGATGAATCACCTTAATATATACTATTTGCGATCTATATAATGTCACAACCTCGTTCCCAGGCTCTTCCCTTCTTCGGGGCTGGTCATGTGACCCATAGAAAATTGATAGCCTGAGTGGGGGATGGAAAAGTCTCATATTACATGTTTCCACTTCCGCACTTCACACTTCAATTGCAAGGGTGGCCGTTTTGTACAATCATCTTTGAGAATCATATATACTTCAAAATACTCCCTAAATTGTTTTCTGTTTGATTTTAAATTATACAAACATGCTAAACTGTAGATTCTTATAGCAATAGACAAGTCGGGAAATCAAGCAACGAAAATGTATGGTCGTATGCTTTGAAATATTTGCCCTTTTATTCTCTCGGGGTTCGGAGCAGTTTCATTTCAACGTATGTTTCCGTTCGGTCTCCTGTTCAGATATTTATGTATGCCATTATTATTGCATTGAATTGTTGGAAACGGTATAAATTTTGTTAAACAAAGGTCTCAAAAGCGTGTGTAGGTCGTAGCGCCTTGTTGGTCTTAAAGCAAACGTTACACATTTCGATTTTGGACACTAGCCAAATAGACATTGAGTGTCCATTCTATTGACCATTGACTCTAAAAATGTTTATAGACATACTGCTCTAGACTTTTTAAAAAAGGTTATCATTGTTTATGTTAAACACCATGTAGGAAGGAGTGTTCACGTAAAATATTGTTTGTCGATCGACAGTACAGAATTATACGACAATTCACAATTGTAGGCTATGCATTTCTTTTTTGTCTGCACGAGTGATCTGTTTGTTAAAGTCAAAATATTGCACAGAATCTCGCATAGGAATTATATCGCCATTCACCCTCGCCCCTTGAATGCAAAGGAATGATAGCCGAAAAGGTTTAGCAAAGTAATTTTATTATACTATCTGGTATAAAGTGTCCCCACGTTTTATCAGGGATATTATATACATAATTTATAAACTGTATATGCGCACAAAGTCTAGCTCATAGAATTACTTAATGAGTTTTAATAAGCCTTTTAAAGTTTCCATTGATAGATAGGTTGTTTGCCTCCAGTATCGTTTGGTTAAACTTCTAAATTGTCATTACAGTATACGATAAAGATTAAAGTTTATTTAAATATTGACTATTGATGACTCACATGCAGCGGCATTATAAAAGTCGAAATAAGCGGTATCTTAAGCCGGGTTACTCTTCAAGAAAAGACCTGAATGGGCAAAGGCAATGCCAATGAAAGGTCTTTATAAGATTTATAATGTACCTGCTGTAGATTATTGTAATGCACGAAATATGAAATAACTTACTATAAAGTACAATACCAGTGTCTGCATGGTGTATATCGTTCTAAATACTCAAGTTGTATATATATATATATACATATATATATATATATATATATATATATATATATATATATATATATATATATATATATATATATATATATATATATATATATATATATATATATATATATATATATATATTTATAATACTCATTAATAATTCATAAACCTTGTGGCAAATCATGTCAGCCATAATATGTCACATGGAGTGACTTTATATCTGATAAAGCATGTGCATGGCATTATATAATTGTTCATCCTAATTAATATGATTATATAATGGTTCATCCTAATTAGCATTCTTTTGTAGTCGTATTTTAAGCTATTCAAAACACTCGTTGTCGTGTTTTATCAGACATAAAGCGCTCGGCTGCGCCTTGCGTTTTATATCTGATAAAACACTCCTACTCGTGTTTTAAATAGTACATAGGTTATCATATAAGGGATGAGGTGATATCAGTTTTATCGCTCGAGGGATGATATCACAATTGTAATATCGTCCCGAGAGCGATAAAACTGATATCACCGAATCCCGAGTACGATAACCTATTTATTATATACTTGTACCTTTATCAGGGTTTGACACCCAAAAGTAAACAGTTTTGAAAAAATAGGATCATTTTAGAATTCAAAACAATTCATCATTTACTGAACAAATATGATTTTAGAAAATAAATAGACCATTCATATAAATAATATATACAATTTAAGTTTTTCGTTTTGTATTTCGTTCTTGTTTTCTTCGATAAACTGTCGACATCAAGCCAACCTCGTTCCCAGGGCTTCAGTGTGAGGACGAGGCGAGACACGAGGAAGCCCTGGTCCGGGCCGGTCACTTTTGCATTCTGATTGGCTAACACCATATTGTCTAAAAATAACTGAACTTGACGGTTGACAATAACAAATTACAATACAATTCAACATTTGTATTTTTATAATTCTTGTGTGTACGAGTATGCTTTGCAAAATAATCTTTCAAAGTAAGACGTTTTCCCGACTGCACGATTTACTTTCGCCTCGGCCGGTTACAAAACTCAAAAGGCGTGTCGGAGTGAGCTGTGATGTTTCCTGACAAAACAAGAAATGTCTACTATTCTTTAAGTTTTCCTTGTACAGTATTTATTAGTGCAGATGTCTGATGAAATACTACGCGTATTGCATTGTACTAATATTTTAATTTACAATATTCTGTACAGAAAAAAATAAAAGCAAGACAAACAATTAAATGAAACTACTAAATTAATTTAGGCCCTGTTTACTTAATATACGCCTAGGCCGATGTAGTCTACAAGATTCGCACGCCACCCAGTTTTTCAGTTTCAGAATACGCCGAATACTTGAAAATTGCGACTATACGATAAAATAAAACAAAGATTGTGAAGGGGATAAAATTTGTAGGCAAGCATTGCTCCTGAACGGCAAGTGTTGGTGTCCGGCGAAACAAGCGAACCGTATATTCCTGTACAGCGTAAACAGGTTACGCGAGGTTTTAAATTTGTGTTTATTTAATATATTGAACTAAGTCAGATCTATAAGAGCATATTTAAACTAAATATTAATTATAGCAATAGCCATATTGTTCAAGACGAGAGAAAGGAAATTTCGTGTGAATCACCACTTGCATGGAGACGCCTAGATGCAGCTAGCTTGGATGCAGAGCTTTGCCTGTAGTTGAAAATCTCCAGAAATATCGGTATATCTTAGAAAACATAGACGGGATCTTCATAGATTTTAGCTGATTCGTGTCAAACTTCGCTCTACACATAAATAATATCGATTGAGAAGTCTTTTGGCTATTCATTTGTTTCGAAGACTTGTATATTTCATTAAAGAATATCTCGCCACTCCTTGACGAGTAGCTGTCAAATACTGCCATTTTTTGACGTCACGTGATCGGCCCGGACCAGGGCTTCCTCGTGTCTCGCCTCGTCCTCACACTGAAGCCCTGGGAACGAGGTTGGACATCAAGCAACACGAACCTCGAGTCGGCCATCTTTGTTTTGACAAGGCGCGAAATTTAGCGGGACAAAAAAAGGTATCCAGGACAAAAAACGATATCCGGGACAAAAAACGATATCCGGGACGATATCGTTTTTATGTCCCGCTGCTTCCTACCTGATAAAGGTACATGTATGTGATATATATATATATATATATATATATATATATATATATATATATATATATATATATATCACTATCGCTATCACGATCATTATCACTATCACTATCACTACCCCTATTACTTTCACTATCACTATCATTATCACTATCACTATCCCTATCACTATCGCTATCACTATCACTATCATTATCACTATCGCTATCACTATCATTATCTTTATCACTATCATTATCACTATCATTATCATTATCACTATCACTATCATTATCAATATCACTATAATTATCATTGTTATATAGCTAGTGTGAACACCAAACGTGATTGGCTGATTTGTAGTCACGTGGCTTTAGATAAATGCAATGTATCCCGCCCGGGTAATAAGTGAAAAATTGTTGCCCGCCCCGACCGGCTACGTACATAAGTAAACAAAATAGCGGCACAAATTTATACCATTTAAACTACCGTTTTCGTGGCTTTGTGTTAAAATAAAGAATGTAAAAGAGAAGAAAAATACATAACAGGCAACAGGATATGCTGCTGAAACCATTTAAGTAGGTTTTTCAAATTTTAAACTCGTTTACGCTATAGAGTTTTGGTCATGAAATACAAATATTGTTGTATGAATGTTGTTCAATGTTGATATTTGTTTCGTCGCTATATAACAAAACACTTAACGTCTTTTCCCTCGGGAAATTGTTAGTTTTGTTTTCCCTCGCATCTCAATGTTTCCCTGGACTTCGTCTCGGGAAACATTGAGATTCTCGAAAAAACAAAACTATTTCCCTCGGGTGCAGACATTAACTGTATACTATCACTATCACTATCATTATCATTATCATTATCATTATCACTATCATTATCACTATCACTATCCCTATCATCACTATCACTATTATTATCATTATCATTATCATTATCACTATCATTATCACTATCCCTACCACTATCACTATTATTATCATTATCACTATCATTATCATTATCACTATCCCTATCATTATCACTATCACTATTATTATCATTATCATTATCACAATCACTTTCACTTTCACTGTCATTATCACTATGACTATCATTATCACTATGACTATGACTATCACTATCACTATTATTATCATTATCACTATCACTTTCGCTATCACTATCACTATCATTATCACTATCACTATCCCTATCACTATCACTATTACTATCATTATCACTATCACTATCACTATCCCTATCACTATTCCAATCACTATCACTATCATTATCACTATGACTATCACCATCACTATTATTATCATTATTATTATCACTATCACTATCAATTTCACTTTCACCATCACTATCACTATCACTATCATTATCACTATCACTATTATTATCACTATCACTATCCGTATCACTATCCCTATCACTATCACTATCGTTATCACTATCACTATTATTATCATCATCATTATCATTATCATTATCACTATCACTATCACTTTCATTATCACTATCACTATCATTATCACTATGACTATCACTATCACTATTATTATCATTATCACTATCACTATCAATTTCACTTTCACTATCATTATCACTATCATTATCACTATCACTATCCGTATCACTATCACTATCATTATCACTATCACTATTATTATCATTATCATTATCACTATCACTACCACTTTCACTATCATTATCACTATCACTATTCCAATCACTATCACTATCATTATCACTATCAGTATCCCTGTCACTATTCCAATCACTATCACTATCATTATCACTATGACTATCACTATCACTATTATTATCATTATCATTATCACTATCACTATCAATTTCACTTTCACCATCACTATCATTATCACTATGACTATCACTATTATTATCATTATCATTATCACTATCACTATCAATTTCACTTTCACTATCACTATCATTATCACTATCACTATCATTTTCACTATCACTATCCGTATCACTATCCCTATCATTATCACTATCACTATTATTATCATTATCATTATCACTATCACTTTCACTATCACTTTCACTATCACTATCACTAATCCAATCACTATCACTATCATTATCACTATGACTATCACTATCACTATTATTATCATTATCATTATCACTATCAATTTTACTTTCACCATCACTATCATTATCACTATGACTATCACTATTATTATCATTATCATTATCACTATCACTATCAATTTCACTTTCACTATCACTATCATTATCACTATCACTATCATTTTCACTATCACTATCCGTATCACTATCCCTATCATTATCACTATCACTATTATTATCATTATCATTATCACTATCACTTTCACTATCACTTTCACTATCACTATCACTAATCCAATCACTATCACTATCATTATCACTATGACTATCACTATCACTATTATTATCATTATCATTATCACTATCAATTTTACTTTCACCATCACTATCATTATCACTATGACTATCACTATTATTATCATTATCATTATCACTATCACTATCAATTTCACTTTCACTATCACTATCATTATCACTATCACTATCATTTTCACTATCACTATCCGTATCACTATCCCTATCATTATCACTATCACTATTATTATCATTATCATTATCACTATCACTTTCACTATCACTTTCACTATCACTATCACTAATCCAATCACTATCACTATCATTATCACTATGACTATCACTATCACTATTATTATCATTATCATTATCACTATCAATTTTACTTTCACCATCACTATCATTATCACTATGACTATCACTATTATTATCATTATCATTATCACTATCACTATCAATTTCACTTTCACTATCACTATCATTATCACTATCACTATCATTTTCACTATCACTATCCGTATCACTATCCCTATCATTATCACTATCACTATTATTATCATTATCATTATCACTATCACTTTCACTATCACTATCACTAATCCAATCACTATCACTATCATTATTACTATGACTATCACTGTTATTATCATTATCATTATCACTATCACTATCACTATCAATTTCACTTTCACCATCACTATCACTATCATTATCACCATCACTATTATTATCACTATCACTATCCGTATCACTATCCCTATCACTATCACTATCATTATCACTATTATTATCATCATCATTATCATTATCATTATCACTATCACTTTCATTATCATTATCACTATCATTATCACTATGACTGTCACTATCACTATTATTATCATTATCATTATCACTATCAATTTCACTGTCATTATCACTATCATTATCACTATCACTATCCCCATCACTATCACTATCATTATCACTATCACTATTATTATCATTATCACTATCACGATCACTATCATTATCACTATCACTATCCCTATCACTATCATTATCATTATCACTATGACTATCACTATCACTATTATTATCATTATCATTATCACTATCACTATCAATTTCACTTTCACTATCACTATCATTATCACTATCACTATCACTATCATTATCACTATCACTATCCGTATCACTATCACTATCACTATCATTATCACTATCACTATTATTATCATTATCATTATCATTATCACTATCACTATCCCTATCACTATCATTATCACTACCATTATCACTATCATTATAATTATCATTATCATTATCATTATTATTATTATTATTATTAATATTATTACTATTATTACTAATATATTTACTGATTTTGTAACCAAAGGTTAAATTACATCAGCTATACTACAAATAAATATATATAAAGGAATGCTATTTACAATATTATATACTGTAGTTTCGAAATATTTTCTGGTAGTAAATTATTTAGTCAACATACCACTTTATTAAGCAAAATTTTAAAATTATCAAAGGTTGGCATATTATATATATATAGCCTTGTTATATAGTTAGTGTCAAAGTTCAATTTTTCTGATTTCTGATTGGTTAAAACCGTATCACGTGTCGGTCCACAAAATGTCATGTTCACTACATGCTTTTGCGAGGAGGCAACTGGTCCACAATAAAACATTTATTGACCGGTCAACAATACAATTGGTTTTTTAAATTCAATTACGGCGTTCAGTTTATCCAGTTTTGGTTTCAAATTAAGTTCACTCCAATAACCGGTGAATTATTCATACTTTGACACTTATATATTATTTAACAAAACATTTATTTCCTGAGACCTTGCGAAAGCAATGTGTTTTGTGGCCCCTCGAACCCGGCGGTCTCGGGTCCACAAAACACACTGTTTCCCTCGGTCTCAGTAAATAAGTGATAATTGTTATATAGTTAGTGCCAAACTTCAATTTTTCTGTTTGCCGATTGGTCAAAACTGTATCACGTGCCGGTCCGCAAAACGCAATGTTCACTGCGTGCTTTGCTGAAGAGGCGACCGATCCACAATGAGACATTTATTGACCGGTCAACAATAAAATGGGCCCAATGCGCATACGTGCCAACCATGAAGTTACAAAGTTCTTTTTCTAAACTTTTTATTAAACATTTAAGCCGTTCCGTTTCTCCAGTTTTGGTTTCTAATTAAATTCACTCCAATAACCGATGAATTATTCATACTTTCACACTTTTAAACTATATAACAAAACACTTATCTACTGGGACCTCGGGAATGCAGTATGTTTTGTGGCCCCTCGACCGCCGTTGTTGCCATTGAACAACGGCGGTCTCGGGTTCACAAAACACACTGTTCACCCTCGGTCTCAGTAAATAGGTGATAATTATTCACCAATATAATGTGTAAGCTGTACGAAAATACCAGTTGGATGCAGCTTGTAACAAAAATACAATCAGAGAGTGAAAGTTTACTGGTCGTCTATTTTAGAAACGCTTGAGGGCAGCTTAGTGAATGCCTTGCCTCTGCAGAGAGGGAAAGCAAAAGATTTTGTCAATCAGAACATAAAACATATATGTGTGTACGTGTGTTTGAAGTGAATAGAAGGACCTGGTCGGTACGGTTTCTTCACTGTAATAAAGAACGCTTGACAAAATTCCTTTAAAATGGGGAAAGGACTTACTACGGAAAGGCTGTACTTAAAACGGGATTTCTATATTACATGTATATGGTGTTCGTTTACCGATGGAGAATAATATAATGACGTAATGACATTATTTTTTGTGTTATACATTCACTTAGCAGAGCAAGATGGCAACACCTTACCTGTTAAGCCATAAATACATCTACAAAGATATGAAGCCATTCAAACAAAGAATGCAAGAAGGAAAAGGTACTATTCAGCAGAGTAACTACCTGAAGAAATTTCTGTTAAAAATTCAGAGAGAAGGGTTAGAGGCGGCATATTTAGAATACGGTGACAATCAACCTCGGCCTCCTCGACGTCTTAGAGGCTTTTATAAACCATCTAGATCTATCGATTATGATTATGACGTCATCATTGTTGGGGCTGGAATGGCTGGTCTTTCTGCAGCGTATGAGTTGAAGAAAGCAGGACTGTCTGTGAAAATCCTGGAACAGACAGAACGTTATGGTGGCAGGGTGTTCACATATGGCAAGGAATCCGGCCTTGCACCTGGTTTATATGGCGAAGGTATAGTCAAAATCAATCTAGATCCTATTCTTTTACACGAAACTGTGTTGTCAAACACGTTTTCTAAGCTGTAGAAAAAAAATAGGATGAATTATTTCTGTATCCGTTTGTCCTAAAAACCCATTGTCATGGAACGCGCAGCGATTCACAATTCGTTGGGCTGGTGTTGAGATGAAATAAATTGAAAATGACAAGGTAGACCTATATGTCCCATAATAATTTTTTTAAAGTAACAAATGTGATAAGGAGATATATTTCAGTGGAACACATGTCTAACTGACAGTTAGTGAAGTTTCTTGCCGATAATTAACGCATCGTAAAAGAATAATTACACAACGGTCACATATAAAACGGTCAAGCCAGGCGTTATTCTGCTTTGAAAATCACATGAGCATGCCGAAAACTGCGAGATTGTAAAATGCCAAAACACTTTTTAAATTACTGCATGTTTCACCTTTCAAAGTTGATAATTTTCTTCAAGTCAATGGCAGTGTCACATATTTAAAAAGCAGAAACATATTTCAACCTTGCATGTGTTAGTAGTATAGCTAGCTGAGCATGCAACTATTAAAATTTATTATTGTACTTGCAGTGTACCTATATATTTTCGAAATCAAGCACGATTACACTTTTCGTTTAGTATCATGGGCCTGATGCCCTCCCATGCAGCTCTACCCCTGACTGTGTGTTGGACAAAGTTGCGTTATAATTATTACTTAAAAAACTCATTAATAACTCATGAGGAAAATGCAAAGGAAATGAATGTTTAATCAATATTTGTAAGTCGGATAAGGATTTATCCTGATTTACATAAACTTCAGCTATAGCTAACATAAGCTTTGACTTTCTCGGCTCAGACAATGGGTCGTTTTTTAAGCACGTTGAAACATTCGCATCCTATCATTATCTGATATACAAACTCTCGCCTTCGGCTCAAGTTTCATATCAAATAATGATGGGCTGCTCGTGTTTTAACTAGTACTTATTGGATTCGTTAGCCAAATATTGCACTAAATATTGTGGTACCGAGACTTTACCAACGGATAAGACTATATTGATCAAACACAATATTTTAATTCGAGAACAACACAACGACAATGCAATAATGATACACTGTAAAAGAGCAAACGTAAAATAGATCGAGCATGAAGGTAAATTAACACAGCGCAAAAACTCGTCGACTTACGAGAACATAATTCATGAACTTTTAAACATGGCTTTTACACCTGATTTGGTTAAAACAAATCAATTATCTGTCAAATGTAATTGGTTGAGTGTTTTTAATCCCAAAAGTTATTAAAACAATGGTGATTAAAACATGAAAAATTGTGTGAAAATTCGGAAAAACTGTTTCTCAAAAAGAGGGGGAAATTTCCCGCGCTTTTTTTGGTAGCTCAATCGAGTTATTGAGCACGTATGTCAGCCAATCAAAAGGTTCTTATCTAACAGGTATGTTGTGATTATCTTTATAGTATAGCTACGCATCGTTTCATTCTTTCTCGATAGTACAATTTTTTTTACTTTTAAACATGCATGCAGCATAATTTTCAACACGCACCTTTTCACAAAAGCTTGCAAAAACCCAAATTCTCAAAGCTGGAAGTGTGGTAAAATTAAGTTGTGCCATTGATTTTGCAAGTGGTCTATTTTTTATCAAATAAAGTTCTATATAATGATATAATAGTTGGAACAGAAAATAATGTTTCTTTATTTCGCCAATATCTAAAGTTACAGAAAAGTACAACAGGATTTGGACTCCTTTACTTGTGTTTTTTCCTATTTTGTCTTGAATAACGCACGCTACATGAGCATGCACTTGCATTTTTCAAAGCTGGCGGGCTTATTTGATTGGCAAAGTGTATTTAATTAATATAATTATTTTCATTCACTAACCTCTATCTGGCAGAGACAATAGGGAATCAAGCGATACCCATTCAATTTTGTAAGATATAGACTCTGATGGTCAAATCAATATAATCTCACAGTTGTTTGCCATTTCTTTTTATTTTTAGCTGGTGCTATGAGATTACCAGGAGATGTTTTTGATTCAACAGACCGAGCGCATTTTCTAACAGACGGCTATATTACGGATTTTAATCTGAAAATAAAAAAGTTTCCAAACTACGATTCTAATGGATTAACTCATATATATGGTTTCCCGACAGACAAAACTAATGGTATGCACGTGTCGCAAATTTCATTGTTTTTTATGCACGTTTTTTACACGCGGAGCTTGTCCGAGAAAGCTACTTCCTTTCACTTAAAATTAACGTCAAAGCTAGAATAGCTACCGTATATATTAGACTCACTTAATTTACAGTACAGTATATAATTCAAAGTGGCATACCTTAAGTTTTCATCTAATACAATACGATTTTCGTGCAGTATTGACTGAAAAATTAATTTTTAATCTTGAAAGTTTATGGCAAGGGCGTGATGGCCACGAGACAACGTGAACTCGTTGTGGGCACTTGGAATAGTAGGAGGCTGGCATCGTACGCCCTTCAAATTAATGAAAATTGAAAATAAATGAAGATCGATAAAAGTAACCTCGCTAAGTCATGATATGCAAGGGCTAGAGTTACTATATCATTTTTAAAGCAATATATTTCCAGAGCAATTCTATTTGAAAGTGAACAACGAAGATATAATTAGAGTGTATACAGACAGAAGTGAGGTGAAGCGGCTTTTAATTAGTAATTATGCATGCAAGTAGATGGTTGAATATTCTCATGCAACAATGGAACAACACATCATAAATTGCTTTATTTATCAATTCATGCGTGTTTGTCATGTGGCAAATAACACAAATAAGTATATGCTACAGTGTATATTGATGGCAGGTTGTTATACATTTCTGCTTTTCATGGGCGTAATGCCAGTCATTTCTAATTATAGTGTAATTATATACCACATTGCATTCAAACTTGTAATACGATTCTCTCGCTATATCAAAATTCCAGATATTCCCAGACACATATTACACTGGCAAATCTGCCTCAAGGCCCCCTAGATGTTGCTCATTTGCTTGGGGTTTCCTGAAAACCCACCTTTTGACATGCTGTACCAAGCTTCTTTCATATACGTCCTGTACATTCTGGTAAAATTCAGTTTCTTTGCTTGGATACTGTCACACACCATAAATTGATGGATTTCGCCCATTAATGAAGGCTCTTGGGGTTCAGTGTGGGACATTTAACCGCTGTTGTAATAATCTTCTATTAAATCCCTCACGAAGTATTCCCACTCCATCATAACGTCACGAGTGACAACATTGTCGTCATTTTCTATTAAAACTAAAATTTGCGAATTTTACCAGAACAACGCACAGTACCCTTCGTCTAGTGTTATAAATCATACAAGGTCATGTATTAGCTGTAAGCGAATCACTCTCACGTGCAGTGCCGTAGCCAGCTCGATAAGCGGGGGGGGGGCAATAAAAACAATAATTTAATAATTTAAAACGAATATATTAATATGTCCCCCCCCCCATTTATCGAGCTGGCTACGCCACTGGTCACGTGGCATCTTAGTGCTGGGCGCCTATTAACATTCATGGGCTGTAATTCACAGATTTTCTCCCCTTAATTACATGACTACCTTTATATAGGATTCTCATATAAAACATATAATTGCTCTAGAATGGGAGAAGAATTACTTTGAAAAAGTGTGGCCTGATTGGAAGGATGGCATTCACGAAGATATGAAAGAGAAGATTAAAGATATTGGTATGTAGAAACTCCGAATCTGCCATTGCAGTAATTGCAAAATGAACCGAACTAACTTCTATATAGCTATACTTCGAATTAGCTCTTAGCACACAACAATGTTTATTTAACACAGCAGTGAGGTGTATTTAACTTTACCTGGGTAAAGAAGAAGTGGAGAACCACTTTACGTGTGTAAAGGAGATTGTCTAAGTGTGCGTTGAACTTATAACCTACCTATAAGAAGCCTATAAGGGCTTACACGATGTCAGTAGTCCAGTAGGTCAGCGAGCACCAGTCAAATAGATAGATTGGGCGCTTAAATTAGTTCATAATAAGTATAAGTCTAACACTTACATCCGAGGTAAGTATATTAAACTTTTTGTAATCCAATCTTGAAAATTCACCCTCTGTGTTGATTTTATTTTCAAAGCAACTCATTTAACTATTTTCAGATACATATTACGACCGAACAACCGGAATTGTGACTGAACAATTAAAAAAGTGGTTAAACAACACAAATAATGACGTTGATGAAGAAATCAATGTGTGGCATAAATGGATTAACATCTGGAGTAAGTTCACTTTGGAAAGTTTTCTCGAAAGCAATATCGATGTAATTAAAGCAAAAGTCCCAGAGGAAAGCCGACAAGATTTAGATATGGAGACCCTGGCTAAACTTTTGCCGTGGTCCGACGACGCATTACGAGGTTACTCCGTATTTACGTATACTGAACAACTTGATCAATCTTTGGTTCAGTATCTTCGCGACGACCTTGGAAACTGGTGGTCGCATCACATGCATACTTTAGTGGGTGGTATGCACAGTCTAGCTGATGGTTTCTTTGGTCGTG